AACCTACCCGACAAGCTAATGCCAACAGGCAAATACAGACACAGAAACCCAAGAAATTAAAAGTACACAAATATTACAAATGCCGCCTAACTTCCACAGCAGGGACATTGTAATAAGCATTGAGAATATCAATTCTATGTCTAACTTCCCCTCTTTCTGTCTCTCTCTCTCTCTCTCTCTCCTTCTCTCTCTCTCTCTCTCTCTCTCCTTTCCTTATCAAATAAACTTTTCTGCAAAAAGACTCCACTTTAGATATGGGGAAATCTACATCCTATTTGGGCCTTTGAATATCATGTTAATGCAGAACAGCTTTTCCTTTCCAGAAATATCTGTCTGTGTCTCTTGTGCATATTTAGTTAAATCTAAACAGTTATCCATCTGCTTAAGAATAAGGCATCTCTCTGTGGTTTGATGTGGTTTTACCCCATGACTATTGTTAAATACCAGTGTTGCTACTGAGATTCTTTCAGGTGCAGAACGAGGAATGGAATGCAACAAGCCTGTCGTATCTGGCTATACAGCTAATAAAAGCATCTGGTCTTTGCTTGGGAAGAGTACACTGATCGGTTGTCCAATCCCAAATGGTCAGCCCTGAAAACATGCATACAAGTCACATGATATGGACTGAGCTGGTTATATTTAGGTTTATGTGTTCCTAATAACAACCAATGAAAAAAGTTTGAAGGAGAGCAGAGATGGGTATAAGGAAGGGTTTAGAGGGGGGGAAGAAGAAACATTGTAATTAAATTACAATCTCAAAAATAAACAACTTTGTAAAAATCATCTGGAATTCATTGTTAACATAGAGCCATTTATGACAATAACTTCAGACAATGGCAAGTTAATTTATACAGGACATCTTGCTATCAATTCATTCATATTAGTTAATTTTGCATAGTTGCAACAGAATAACCAAATACTTCAGGAGAGTTACTGATTTTAGCTCACAGTTTCAAACAGGCCAACACATGATCACATGGCCCCTTGCACTTTTGAACCAAACATCACAGGACAGGAGTGTGTGGCAGAGGTTACTCAGCTCATGAGAGGCATCAAGCACAGAGGAAAGAACTGGGGCCCGGGGTCTAATGCCCAAAATCATGTCCTCACTGTTCTACTTCCTCCAGGTAGGCTCACAATACTAAAGTTTACATGACAATCGAGGGCCAACTGCACAGGAGTCAATGGTGAACATTTCAGTCTCAAACCCTAAGAACCATCTTTACCATGTTTGCCTGTGTGTGCGTCGTGAAGGGTTAGGACAGTAAAAGTAATGAACGGTTATAGGGAACAGTTTAAGTGCTAAATTTATTTTACAATTCTTCTGTCTGAATTCAGCATAATCTGAAGAGTCACACACGCGTTTTTGTGCTCACAGATATGCACTATGAAAACCTGTAGTGTTAAGCACACAGGGTTGTTTCTCAAAGGAAGAAATGCTAGACCCATTATCCACCCAAAAGGCTTAAACAAATGTGCTTACTGGCCTGCTGACCACTGCTCCATCTCTGTGGCTAGAGACTTTTCTGGAACTGGATATTCCCCTGGACCCTTATTGTAAGCTTGCTGTTCTCAATCTATAGAAACTCTCTTTGTGGACTTTACAATGAGTAACAAAGATTTATGTACGTTCTGTTGTGAACATAAGTGTTCACAACATAAAACACGGATTTGAGTTAATTATCATCAGAGTTAGTTTTCACCGGATTGTGCTGTGCTTTTTCCTAAAATAAATTAGCTGATGTCAGACTCCACAAGTCTGAACACCAGCCACTGAGTCGGTTTGAACCAAACCATTGCCTTCTTACCTATGGTGGCTTGTCACTCTGCTGGCTATGGTGGTCACAGAAACTCTTGCAACTAGCAAGAACAATGCTTAAATAATATGAATGGGAAAGATCCAGGTACTATACATAACTGTGCAAACCATTCAGGGTCCTTGACAGTCCCAGGATGTAGAGGTGATGGTGCCTCTCGGGCTAGGAGTTAAGGAATTGTCTAGGCAATCCTCAGAATCAAAGCCATCACCAATGAATTGTTTGTCTTTGCTTAGAAAACAGGGCCAGCCACACGAAAGTCTTCTGAGGCGCATTTGTTTCCATTCAGAGTTATGGTACATGATGACCTATTTAAGAGGCTCGAGGAAAAGGATTACCTGATGGCAAAACGGAAGTACTCCATGTGAGCTACTGCTACACAAAATTCACTAGCACCGGAGGCCTTAATCAGCAATTAGGGTGAGCTCGCTAGTGGAGCATCTGTTGATGGACAAAGGGTCTAATAAGCACATCGTGTCCGAATGGCTGCAGTTTTGAAGAATATTATAGGTGAGCTTTGTCACAGGAACCTGCACATCTGCAAGGAGAATGCTCCTTGGAATCTTGCGAAAGAGCTGATCACACACAGGAAACGACTCTTGTTACTTCCCAACTCTCGTTTTCTGTGGGTCTGACAAGAATGAGTTCACTTCGGGATCAGTAACTTTTCCTGCTCCAAGTAAGTCCTGCTGTGGTAGAAAATGTTGTTTAATGCTTCATAGCCAAACGCCTAGCAAAGCACCTAAGTGCGGCGTGTGCTTAATAACTACCTGTCAAATGAGTACGAGGAGCGCATCACAGCGGTGGAGCCTCATCACCACGGAGGAGTTCTGGAAGTTGCATAGAGCAACCAGAATCTGAGCAGAAACGGTTCCTGTCAGCAGCCTGCGGTTCACTCATCTCAGTCAACTGTGTGGCCTGCGGCTTCACACAGCCCTTGCGCGCTGACCCGGGAACCACCTGCACTTGGGCGTTTGGGTGACCTGCCAGGTGCTAAGCAAACTCTCATTTTCTCAGGAAAAGCCCATGGATCGTGCTGGGGAGGTGACAGAAGGTACTGCATGTATTGCACGGTGGAACCGACACCTCCGGACATGTGACACAGAAGGCCTTGCTGAAATCGGCTCCCTGTGCAGACAAGGTACCATGGCATCTGTCGGTGGAGGGCACTGTGCGGGGCAGCTGCCAGGGCTCATAAGGTGGCACTGAGAAGCACAGGCCTCTGGGAGCTCCGGACCCGATGGGAGACTTGATGGGAGCCTCCTGCTGGGCTGGCAAGGATGTGAGGTGGGGGCTGCCGGGCTGAGTGGAGGACTAGGCCAACTGGGGCCGGACCCCAGGGCAGACCCTGCAGGGATAGAGGGCTGACAGGAGCTCCAGGGGCTGACGGGAGTCAATGATGTAACAGGAGCGTGGAAGGACCAGGAGCACAAGACCGGACCACAGAGCCCAAGGCATCATGGGAGTTCCCAGGAGCCCAGAGCACAGGGCCTGATGGGAGTTCGAGCGCGGGACTCGACAGGAGGTAGGTGTGAGGCGAGCAGGTTCTGACGGGGGGAACTCGAGGCTTGAGCATCCTACTAGCTCCTGTAGTATCCTAGTAGTCCGCGAGGACCAACTGAGAAGAGTGCAAAGGCTGAGGAGAGCACGGAGGCTGACAGACTGAGGACAGCACGGAGGCTGAGGAGAACACGGAGGCTGAGGAGAACAGAGGCTGAGGAGAGCACAGAGGCTGAGGTGAGCACAGAGGCTGAGAACAGAGGCTGAGGTGAGCACGGAGGCTGAGGAGAGCACAGAGACTGGCTGACAGACAGACTGAGGTAAGAGAGGACCCGCTGCAGGCGGCTTTGATGCCAGCCTGGCCTTCCTCACCTCCCGAGAAAGAGCTTCTCAGAGGCGCCACATCATTAGGAAGCAAGGAAAGAGAGAGGAGGAAGGAGGTCAGAATCGCCCGTCGAGCGAGACCGCCATGATCGTCCTGAGAAAATTGGGGCGCTGCTTTCCAAGAACCAGACTGAAGACCCCGGAGTTAAACAACCCGTGTTGGGTTTGCTGGGATAGCTTAAGGGCCAGGAAAAGATGATTATTCTGTTAAAACAGTGTCATTTGCTTCAATTTTTAGAGCATTAGAAATGCCTAGAAGTACCTTAAATTTGTTTTTAAAGGCTTCAGAGGTATTGCTGTCACTGAGAAAGTGGAGCCTAAGGAGGGGAGGAAACTTATTGTGAACTCACTTATGGGAAGCATAAGTGAATCCAGAACTGAAGAAAATTTTAAGTGGTTTAAGTACGTTATGTTTGTTCAAGCCAAAGTTCAGGGCCAGCATTCCTCAAACGACAACCGAAGGCATTTGGTTGATGTGACCAGAGTAAAGTCCACCAACACTTCAGATTCCAGGGCTGGTGGCTTCTCTTTAAAGAGAAAAGGTATGTTTGTGTAAAGTCTGCCATTCTAGAGTCCAAGTCACCTCCCACTAGTGTACTTGACTTTTCCTAGCCGACTCTGCACTGAGATTCCAGTTTTCTGTAATGCATGACACACACTTCCAAGGTTACCAGTTACTAGTAATTTTAAAATGTGCCCCCAAGTACAAGTTTTGAATCCAAGTCATTTCTTGGAAATGAGATCTACTTAATGGTTATACAGTTACATGTTTTGGCTAACCTTTTCCATTTTTTTAAAATTATGTGAGAGAAAAGATTTCATTTTTCTGAAAACAAAACCTTAAGGATAGCCAGGATCTGTAGAATGAAATTATTAAACACAATGTGGCAGGTATATAGCAAGAAAATGCTTAGGTATTTAATAAATTAGAGCTATTAGTACAGAAATTAGCCATTCAATTTGTGTTGTAGAACTGAAGATTTAGAATATTGGGAGAGGCAATGAAAGTTTTACAATCTATTCCATTAACAGGTATGTAACTCCATGAATATAGTAAACTAAAGTATTGAACTTATTATAACTGGATAATCATAGGTGAACATATTTTAATAAAACCTGTCTAAAGACAAGTGATTTAGAAGACCATGAAGCTGAAATGGTGATTTTTTTTTTTGGCTAAAGTTTACGAATTTATTTTTATTTTCTTATTCTAACATGATGGCAAATAAAATCTGCTGAGTTAGCATTGAAACTTTACAGTTAAAACTGTTGATGTGTGTTTTTTTTTTTTACAGCTGTATGTTTGTGACGAAACTGCTTGCTGAAATACAGTCAACACGAAAATATGAATGAGTCCAGGCAGCCATCCCTGTTCTTTATCATACTTCCAGATTTACACAAAGTCTGTGCTGTCCAGATAAAATTGAGTAGCAGGATGGCAGAAGCAGAGATTAGGAGTACACAGATCAAGATGTGCAGGTAAAAGCATGTGCCTTCTCTCTGAGCTTTTAGACTTTACAAATCCCATTATAGCTATTTTAGGGGGATTTCCTTCAAAACATCTACTAAATATGTATCTCTATTTTGAAAGCAAAGAATCCAGGTATATTAGATTACATTTTAAAAGGGAGTTAAAATGCTTGAGGTAAATATCTCACTGTTAAGTTTTTATATTTGTGACCTCTTGTGAGCTTTAAAATTTTTGAATTTTCAGGGCTACAGAGATGGTTCAGTGGTTGAAAGCACTGGGTGCTCTTCCAGAGGACCAGGGTTCAATTCCCAGCACCCACAGGGAAGCTCACAACTTTCTGTGACTCCAGTTCCAGGGACTGACACTCTCACACAGACATGTGTGCAGGCAAAACACCAATGCACATAAAATAAAAAAATAAATTTTAATTCTTGATAAGACTTAGTTTTTGAAATAAATCAGACTCCCCCCAAATATACTAAGTAATGCATATTTGCTATATACTCTTTGCAAGGCACTTAAAGATACAAGAAGATTAACGTAATTTCTAAATTTCTTTGTCAAAATATGACAATGGAGAATATTTCTGCTGTGGGATAATGCTTTTGTACACTGTAAAAATTTGTCACTCATTTGGTTTAAAAAACGCTGATTGGCCAGTAGCTAGGCATGCAATATAGGCGGGGCAACCAAGCTAAGAGAATTCGGGGAAGAAGAAAGGTGGAGAGTGACTCACCAGCCAAATGCAGCAGAAGCAATGAGAATGCCTCAGTGAGAAAAGATTCCAAGCCACATGGCTAAACATAGATAAGAATTATGGGTTAATTTAAGTTGTAGCTAGTTAAAAATAAGCCTGAGCTAATAGGCCAAAGAGTTTATAATTAATATAAGTTTCTGTGTGTTTCTTTGGGGCTTAGCAGCTGTGGGGCCAGGGGCAGGAACTTCGTCTATATATTTCTCTAAGAATTATCTTGCAATTCCTGACCCAAGATAATCTTTAAGGAACAGCTCAACTGAAATCTGATTGTTAAGGACTCACTTGTATTTAGTGCCTTTAATTGTTTGAGGTACCCAAAGGACTCAAGACAAACTTTAAATAACTATCTCAGAGAAGAATAAGTCCTGTAAGATTGCTAGGAGAAAGCTGACTGTGATACTGAATTTACATAATCCCAGCAGTCTGGATGCTGAGGAGCAAGAATCTCAAATTAGAGGCATCCTGAACTAAATAGTAAGATGGTTGCAAAACAAAACGAAATCATAAGGACAGAAATGGGGAGGACAGTCTTGGAGTTTTACCCATCTTAAATCCCCAACTGCTTCAGGAAATCCATAGCCTTCATGTTTGGGTATAATTTAGTCATACTTAATACAAATTGTCTCTGACCTCTTTGAAAAATAACAAAATAGATAGAAAAGTGAAAGGCTAGACTAAGTTCCTAAATATTTCAGTATCATACAAGTGTAGACAGTAGATGAGTTCAGTTTGAAAATAATGTGTTCCTTCTCCACAGGCAGCTGCTACTGCTTCATGAAGATGTTCTTACAGCACCTGTGCCTGGAATATTAAACCAAATCTGGGTAGTGATGTCGGTTAGTATCGCTGATTCCTAGAAGCAATATTAATAAGCAATAATAATAAGCATTGTAGCAGAAATGAAAGATTGTTTATGGGGACTAACCACCCCATAGTTCAGTTTGAGTGAATGTCCCATTAACTTGATATGCCTGACATTTAAATCTATCTTGTGATTCTAAATTAATACTTAGCTTTATCTTAGATAAATGCTGAAATAAAGACCACTAATGAACAGAACATGTTATGGTACAATAGATAAGACAGCATGGGCTTCAATGCTTTTTATCAATATTTTAGTTATACTTAAATTTCTCATCTCCGTAAATCAACATTTTTATTTTCCTTTGACAATATCATATATTTATACCCTCTATTTCCATAACACCTTTTCCCCTCCAAATCTTTCCATATACAATCTCTTCCTCCTCCCAACTTCATATACTCTTTCTTAAAAAATAATCCGCGGACACTAGTTAGAGCAGGTATGCATGGCGGTAGAGCCATCCACTGCAGTGGTCACCCTGACAGGGATCACACCCTTTCCCCAACAGCCATCAGCTCTCGATAACTTTTCAGCTTGCTGTGGGAATTGGATGCCCCTCCCTCGTCCATGCGAGAATGTTGTTTGTCTTGATTTTGTGCAGGCCACCACAGCTGCTGGGAACTTGAGTGCCAGCTCTGGAAGAGACTATTTCACACCAGCCCTCCCTGGCCTCTGGCTCTCATGGTTGTTCTGTCCGCCCCTTCCTCCACGATGTCCCACTAGCCTGGGGAGCAGGGAGTATGATGCAGCTGTCCCGTTTCTGGCTGAGCAGCTCCTAACCGTTCATTCCCTGCACACAGACTAGCTGTGAGTCTCTGTAGTAATCACCATCTATACAGACGCTTCTCTGGAGGCTACTGAGAGCTGCATAACCTATTGGCATAGATGTATGTATTTAGATGTCAATTTGATACCATGCCCATTTAGCAAATAATGTCTGCTATTCTTTTAATACTTACGTTTCTTTCATTAGTAGGTTGAAGCCTTTTAAATTTATTTAGGTTCATTTTCCACATCCACATCTAAGTATGTCTTATATATGTGAAAGTTGTTAAAGACTTATATAAAATGTATCTGCCTTTTCTTTTATATGGCTTGGAGAGCATGTCAATACCAGGCAACTTCACCTTGGCAGTGAACCTGTCACAGATCCTATGTCAAGGAAAAAGTGGTTCTCATTGTGTCTTTCCTCAAATGGATATAGGATAGAAATATAAAATGATAGCCAAAACTTGTGCCCTTTGTTGTATTTTACTTAAAATATTTATGTATAACGGTGTTTTGTTAAAGATCTATGTTTAGTCCTTTTTACAAAGGACTTTCTGTTCCAGATACCGTTTTTCAAATCTGGGAGACTTCATGCCTATATTGAAAAATATGGAGCTAAGGTATGTGTTTAAAATAATAATATAGGTGTTCTATATTATTATAGAATAGTATATAGTCTGCTTCTTTCAGCAGTGTCCTGGTGTGTTTTCTGTTGCTGTGATAGACACCATAACTAAAGAGCAACTTAGGGAGAAAAGTATCCATTAGGCTTCTCCTTCCACATCACAGTACATCTCCACAGGCAGCCAGGGCAGGCATTCCAGACAGGAACGGAGTGGCAGGAACTGAAGAACAGACCATGACCATAGAGGAGCTCACCGGTCTGTGACATGGCTCACTTATCTGCGTTTTTATGTAACCAGGACCACCTGCCGAGAGGTGGCAGCACCCACACTGGGCTGCTCTCATCCCAACATCAATCATTAATTTACAAATGACCTGCAGATTTGCCTGGGGGCCAATCTGATGAAGGCATTTTCTCAGTTGGGGTTCCCTCTTTCCAGATGACCCCAGTTTGTGTAGAGTTGCCATGCCAACAATAAATAGATAGCCAAAACTTAGCCAGCAAACAAAATTTGGAGTATCTTTCTCATAAGTTGTTGTTAAACATGGGAAAAGACCTCAAGATTTTTTTCCCAAAAATTTATCTAAGGACACAAAAAGAGGGATTTACTCCATTTTGACATAGAAAAACAACAAAATTCCAAGAGATGGAATCATTGCCACAAGTATATAGCTAATATGTAAGAGAAACAAAATTGTAGACTGTATTCCGCTAAAGGTGAGCTTCTTTGAAGGCAGAAAGTGGGCGTGGGTGTTGGGGCAGTGCATCCTGGTTTCAGAGGGTTAAGCACATTGTGGTGGGAAGGCTTAGCTGAGGAAAGCAGTTCACCAACGTCACCTAGGCAGGGAGGGAGGGAGGGAGGGAGAGAGAGAGAGAGAGAGAGAGAGAGAGAGAGAGAGAGAGAGAGATAGTCAGTCTGCACTCTTAGACTTTCTTCTCTTTCTCTTTTATTTCAACCTAGCCCCAGCTTCAGCCTGTGGGTTGGCACTGCACTGCCACGTTCAGAGTGGATTCTACCCCCAGTCCTCTCTGTAAACCCCCGACATATCCAGAAGTATGTTTTACTCTTCCCTTTGTCACTTCTCAAACAATCAATTTGACAATTAAGATTAACCATCATATTTATGGATCAGTTAAGATCTCTACCATCAGGAATTCTAAGAAATAAATATCACCTCCCTTAAAAAAAAAAAAAACTTTTCTGGAAGAAGTCGTGTCTGATTTTGTTATTTTTCCCTAGATGTTTCATGTTTAAACTCTCAAATTTGTTTTAATAAGTTTGCTTTGGTGTTCTCTTATTTTTCTTTGCTGTAAAATATGAAGTGATTTCTCCTTTTTGATTTTGTCTCTTTTTTTGGCTGGGGGGGGGGTGTTGAGACAAGCTTTGGTGCCTGTCCTGGAACTAGCTCTTGTAGACCAGGCTGGCCTCAAACTCACAGAGATCTGCCTGCGTCCGCCTCCTGAGTGCTGGGATTAAAGGCATGCGCCGCCACCGCCCAGCTTCCTTTCTGATTCCTAGCATTGGTTATATGTGTGATCTTTTTCCCATTTTTTTTTTCTTTTTCTTAATTCTCTGACCAGCTAGAGAGTTGACAATCACTGATAGGGTTAAGGAGGGTGTTAGGTGTCATTGATTTTCTCTGTTGTTTCGCTACTTTGTATTTCATCGATCCTACACACACACACCTTTGGTCTATAATTTCCTTCTACTTAATTTGGCTTTGTTTTGCCCTCCTTTTTCTAGCTTCCTAACATGATGACTGATGTCACTGAGTTAAGAACGTCATTCCTGTCAAATACAGATATTTGTGTATTATTTAAGATATTTATGCTTAGAGAGCATGTAGTGTTTTACATGCTCTCTAAGTAGTTCTGCCCTTTAACTTTTCAGTTACAAGTGCTTCCTAATGTCTGCTACAAATAGGCTGCATGGTTTCCAAATGGGGGTTCCCAGGGGTCTTTCTGCTATGCTTTCTTATTCAATTATTATTTGGAAAGATGTTTCGTAGAGCTTTAATTTTTAAAAAAAATTGAATTTTTTAGGGTCCAGAATATAAACTACTATAGATTTAATAAATGTTTCTTGTCCTCTTGACAACAATATGTATTCTGGTCTTATTATAGTATTCAGCATCTTATAGATGTTAACTGCATCTCATTGCTTGATAATGATAAATCTACCACATTCTTGCTTTTTGTTTGCTTGTGTCAATGATTAGGATCAGGGTATCAAAATCTCTACCTGTAATTGTGGATATCCCAGCAATTAATACTGCAAAATAATTTTTGGCTGTCTCATTTCTCTACTTGCGTTCTTGCAGAATACAGGGCAGATCTTTCTGGATTGTATTCAATGTTCATGTAGCAAACACACTTGGTTTTCCTTCTGACTTCAGCGGTTTCCTCCCGTGTGTGTGCTGGACCATACTCAGCAGAAAACCCGGGGACTCTGCTGTCCTGCCTGCAGTCTGTTCTCCGCGGTGTCCTCTCAAGGGCTTTCTAGCTTCTTTGTCTTCTGTGGACCCTCAGCTCCGTCTCTCCAGCTCACAGAGACTAACAGAGTCTCTCTAGATTGCCTCTTTTATGACCACAGTCTGGAAACCCCTCTTTATACAATAAACCGGGGACATGTTATCCTCTATAGAGGAAAAGCCCACAGATGGGCTCTATGATTTCCCAGGGTTCATCTTGTTGACTTTTCATCTATAGAGACTACCTCTTCCTTGTTCCATAATGTCCAGTATTTTTGAACCATTGTTTCAAATAACTTGACCAGTTTTTTTTTTTTGAGACTTCAAATGGGAGAAATAAATCCAATTCCAGTTACTTGGGAGTCAACAATGAAAGCATTAATATTAAAGATTGACTCTGTATATATAGATAAATGCTTGGTTGCATGAGTTGTCATGAATTAGGTCAGTATGATAAGTAACCAGACTAGTTCAAGAGTAACAGGAATACTTTAATGGTTAAAGAGGGGAAACTTATACTATAACAGTGGGAGTTTTGAAATCTCATAGGTCCAGTGGGCACCGCGAAGAAGAAGAGAGCGTGCACCTGTGTCTCCCCGTTTTTCTACGTTTTCCACCTGGGCTCCAGGTGGCCACACCCTAACTAAATGTGATTGGTTGATAGAGTTTTCCCATCAATGAGTAATTTTGTACTTAGTCATTTCTAATGTTAAATAAACTACAGTGGAAAAAATAAACAAACCATAATATCATTCTTGCTTGAGTTCCTCTGTGTAGAGCAGGCGGCATGGTTGAAGATTGGGTACAGTTTAGACTTAAGCAGGAAATTTTGGCACATAACAAAGCTGCATTGGTGGCTTCGAAATAAGTATCTCTTAAATTCTTTAGCCTTATAACTAAGTAGTACTAACTACAGGAACAACTGTCTTTTTTTTTAAATCTAGAATTGCTTAGTTCATTGGAGGCTGATCTGAGACTGCAGACAGTATCTGAATTTATAGATACATAGCATTGCTCTTAATTTGCCCATATTCTCTCTTTGTCTCAGATGGAGACTCCACGAAGAGTAATTCCTGTAATTCTTCAGAGCTGCCTTTCATATTCACTCAGCGCGAGACTTGCTCCAGCCTGGAATAGAACAGGTCATCTCTTGGTACAAGGTGACTTCGCTTGCCAGTCACTGGACTGCTTCTATATGTACTTCTGGTTTTGATTTCAAGGTGGCTTCCTTTTATTGAAAAGTTCTTAGACAAGCCCGCAATAATACTTCTGTCATCTCCCTATGGCGATGACATGCAGAGCCCTGCTGGTGCTACTTTGAAGTGCTTTGATTAGTAGAATTCTTGATACTTAGGAATGAACTCGTTATGAAGATTTGATAAATAAACAGATTGTCATTTTTGTTGGGCCTAAAGGGCCATCTTGAATTTACTTCTAAAGTTTGATGGTTTCCTACTTTATAGCAAGAGATAAATTGTTGAAGAAAGTATTGGGTATCTTGATTCTTTTCAGGGAACAGGTATTTTTAGAGTGATTATATATTTTTCTAAAAGCTGTCGTTAGAAATTTGTTTTCTGATTTTCATAGCACTTCAGATGGTTATATTAGTCAGTAATGATTATTTCTGGATTATAATAATATGGTATTTTCTTTGAATTTTTTAAGGAAGAGATTTTCTTTCTCATGTGGGAAAGCAAAGTGCTGTTGGTAAGTAAAAATGCTCAAAACAATAGACAAAGCATTAAAATGACAAACAGTTGTTTAAAAACCAATGTTGAGTTGTTACAGTCTTGATGATTACCATATGCAAGGAGACAATAAGACATAATTATAATCAGAATTCACGTAGGAAGTTACTTCTCATTAAAAAACATATATTTACTTACTTGAGAAAAAATTCACTTAGTTGGGAGGAAAGTTATATTTTAATTCCTCTATTTAAGAAAATGATTGTGAAGATGTTTAATTCTGAAAGTATTTTAATATATTTTCCAAAATTATAGTATTAAAAATTGAATTAATTATGTCAAAACTTTTTATTAGAATCTTATTTTTCTCCTGAAAATAATCTAAAGGAACATCAATAATCTCAAAGACAGACTTTATTATAACATCCAATCTAATTGATTGCTCTGCATATTGCCTTGAAGGTAGGTAGGTTCGTAAATAGTCCTACTGAGGTAGCAGATGGATCAGCAGCTTCCAGTAGGCATTAGTAACCAGGCGTGGCAGGTTCTCCATCGTTTGGACCCAGTCTTCCAGTCCTCATCTATAGCCCCCAGCTACTGGAGCTGAGCAGACTGTCCTGCAGAACCGTGTTTCCTGCCTGGCACTACTTCTGTGATTTGGTTGACAGCGACAGTCGCTCTGACCTCACTCTGGATGAGTGAGTTGGTTCCCTAAATTTAGCTTTGCTAGCATGAGACCTTAGCTAGAGAGTTGAGACAACAACTTAGAAGAGCAAATTTCTTGGGCTTCTGTCAAAAGATTGTTTTTACTGTTGTGTAAATATAACATACTTAGGTAAAACTCAGACATTTTAAGTGCATACTTGCTAAAGTTTTACAAAGTCAGAGCAGCCTTGTAACTGGTCCTCTGCTCAAGAAATGGCGTCTTCAGCATCCCTGAAGCTCCCAGAGCCTCGTGGAGCTGTCTCCTCCCAAGGTCCCCACGACTGCCTCGTCAGCACAGCTTTATTTAGAGGAGAGAAAGGAGGGTCTCTAGGAAGAGGCTTCGGGGACGACTCTGAGGCCCGGAGCCTGGTATGAGACATCACTGGAATTAGTAATAGATGTCAGGTTTGCGGAAAGTACGTATTGAGTGTACTATAAGCTGTAGGAAGTCTTATCTCTCCTGCTGTCATCCTGTCGTAGGCCTCCTTCCCACATATATCCTGTTGTTTATCATCTTTGTCTTAGAAGTGTAATCTGTGGGCTGCCAAATCTATGGTTCATTATTTAAACTTTATTATATGTGTAAAAAATTCTTAATGTATAAGCTGGATAAAGTTATATATGCTACTAAAATGCTTCATTTGTTATGATAGAATACTAATTCTAGAAAATTCATAGTTAATTCTTTTTCAGTATTAGACATCAACGTAACAGAAACACAAGTTTGTTTAAGTATAGACGTCTATACTATCAGATTGCCACCGCCTGAGGTACAAAATATTTGATTTCTATAAGTTCCTATATCTAAATACACTTAGTGTGTGTATGTTATTATTACTGTTTGATTTTAATTTCTAACATGGAAGCTGATGGAAGGGTTTGTTACCAAAACAATTGCAATGTTTTCTCACGTATGCAGGATATACATATATGTACACAGACATACATACATGAAAGCAGAAGGTGAGTATTTGGAGAGAGAGGAGAGAAGTAGCAGGAGCGCAGGGTAGACAAGAGAGACCAGGGGCTGCTGTGAAGAGAGCACAGACACACACTTCAGTTAGAGTCTTAGAGAAGCCCGTTGTTTGGGGCTAGCATTTTAAAGGGCTCAGCCGCTTTTGTTGCTGTCATTTCTTTGTTCAGTTTTGGAATTCTGAAACAAGGTCTATTTTATAGCTCAGGCCGGCTAGCAGTTGGTATCTGCCCTGCTGGCCTTGAACTTGTAGCTATCTTTCTACCTCTGTCTCCTGAGTACTAGGACTGTAGGCTTCTAATTTGAATTAGACAACTTACCATCTAAAATCTATTCTTCTAAGGTAGAAATTCCAGTAGTTTTCTAAACTCTATCTTATTTGGATAACTTTTTAAGATAGTTTATCATTATTGTAAGAAATGGCATTTCAGCTCTTATTTTTTATTATAAAAAAATCCATACATATTTTTAAATAATATTTATTTCTTCAAATTTAGACTGTGTTAAATTATACTATTTTCCTAAAACTCATTGTCTTGGAGTTCCTATCGCTATGAAGAGTCACCATGACCACAGCAACTCTTATAATGAGAACATTTAATTGGGGTGGCTTGCTTATAGTATCAGAGGTTCAGTCCACTGTCATCATGATAGCGAGCATGGGGGTATGCAAGCAAACGTGCTGGAGTAGTAGTTGAGAGTCCTAAATCTTGCAGGAAACAGGAAATGATCTGAGAAAGTAGTTAGTATCCTGAGCATCAGAAACCTCAAAGCCCACCCCCACAGTGACACACTTTCTCCAAGGCCACACCCACTTCCACAAAAACACACCTCCTAATAGTGCTGCTACCTATGAGATTACAGAGCCAATGACATCCATGCTAAATTTATGTGTGTAAACTGACTCAAGGTGATACATTCAGATTATAACTACCTGAGGGATATGTTAAACTGTTGCCCTGAAATTTTAATTGTATGGAAAATAAGCAACTGAAAGCCAATTTGTGTTTATTTTACAGACAGCTATTTATTGGGTATTATTATGTACATGTGCAAAGTGTTTCCTTCGAAAGATTTTGTTGAGTCCAGAAGAAAAGCCAGCATAAAGATGAGAACACTTACAAAATACTCATTGTTTGCACACCTAAAACATTCAGAGTTGGCTTAGAGTCACATTAAAATTCTCAAATCTTCATTCAATAACAATGCCACTTTGAACATTCTACTTAGTTTCCCTTAATCTCAGATTTTTGTATAAATTTTATTGTTAGAACTAAGAATTGAGACTCAAGTATCAAAGGTAGTCAGACGGTCACAATTCAGAGTTTTTCTTTCCACACTGTTCGGTTTCATTGATTTGCAACTAATTGGAGTCACGAACTCTAGACCAACAGCTGTGGAGCCTGCATGGGACCAAACTAGGCCCTCTGCATGTGGGAGACAGTTGTGCAGCTTGGTCTATCTGAGGGGCCCCGTCAGTGGGACCAGGATCTGTTCCTGGTGCATGAGCTAGCTTTTTGGAGCCCATTCCCTATAGTGGGTTGCTATGCTCAGCCTTGAAGCACGGAGGAGGGGCTTGGTCCTGCCTCAACTTAATGCATCAGGCTTTGTTGGTTCCCCAGGGGAGGCCTTACCCTTTGGGAGGAGCAGATGGGGGAGAAGGGGGAAAGGAAAGGTGGGAGGGAGAACTGTGGCTGGAATGTAAAATGAATAAAAAAATTTTTAAAGTTACCTCTTGTCCTGCACAGGACATTTTACATCCTTATCAGTTCTGAGTTTTGTTGCTCTTACTATTTTTTTCTTCCTTCTTCTGGTGCTCAGGATAGAACCCGGGATCTTTCATAAGCCACACAAGTACTACAACACTACTGTACTTCCCTAACATTTTATCATCTCTTTCCATATTGACATTTTCTTATTTCATCTGTTCCCTGGTTTCCATTGCTCCCTTTCAAAAGTTCTTTGAGAGCTTCATATTTTGTATCACATGTTTAGATTAGATTCACCTCCCCCAAGTCTTCCCGTATCCACCTTCCCTCTTCACCCAACTTTTTGTCCTTCTTTAAAACCCTTTAAGACCAATGGGGGCTTTCCAGATATTCCTGGATGTGTGGTTTTCCACGAGAGTGTGGTCAACTGCAAGGAGATACACTCTTAACGAACACTGACCCTTACTTTCCCAGTAGTTAACAATTGCCAATGACTCCATGGGAAGGTGTGGAACTTTTAGTCGTCTTAAGGAATGGGATAAGAATTCAGAAAAGTGATATTAGATTAAATGGGTGTAGACTTAGAAAGACTTTGATTAGTAGGAGTTGAAATATCAAAATGTAAGTCGTGCTGTAAGCAACATCACTAGCGTACTAATGGCTTCTACAGAAATGCAGTGTTAGCTATGTTAGGGTCTGGAAAGAAGTAGGCAGTGAATGAAATGAGAGCATTGTTCCTCAGAGTTGCTTTGCTCTTTGTGGGGAGTGAGGCGTCGTGACACACATCTCTCTATCCTCAGTGCTCCTTACCGCTAATATTTTATTTTTACTTGAGGCCTCCCTGTGTCTTTCTAAATTTGAGAAATATCTTACAGGACTTCCCAGGGCAGCTGAACTATAAGATGTGAACATTTACTGTCTGTATAGAAGCTGGAATCCTCTCTGGGTAGGATATTTGAGCAAGAGGAAGAAAGCAGTCTAGGAAGTGGAGTAGGAATATCAAAGGAGAGTGTGACACTGGCTCTATCAGAAGGTGGTCTTTTAAAAGTGTGATACAGGGCTGGGAAGGTCCCCTAATCTGGTGACATGTAACACAGGGCTGAGAAGGTCCCCTAATCTGGGGAAGTGTAACACAGGGCTGGGAAGGTTCCCTAATCTTGTCTAGTGTTTGCTGGGTTGATCCACCAGATCCCACATTAACAATAGAAGGGCATTGTGGAACCTATTTGTAATGCCAGCATTGGAGTGACAGCAATAAGCAGACCCCAGACCTTGCTGGTCGGCCTAGTTGAGAGTTCCAGACCAGTGAGACTCTGTCTCAGAAAGCAAACAAAAAGGGTTATCTTCCCAGGGAATGACTACCAGAGTTGCCCCCACTCACACATGACCACATAAGCATAAAACAAAAGCTTGGACTTGGAAGATGAAAGGGAAAGGAAAGCCTAGCCTGCCTGAGAGGTGTCCTGTGCAGTGGAGAGACGGGTGTGTCACAGCACTGATCAGGGTGTGGTTCAAGAAGACGTGAGGCCCTGAAACCTCACATAACCACAGTCAGTGTGTATTGTTGTGATGCCTCCTTATATGGGGCAAAGTCCTGGAGGACTTACGTGCTGAAATCTTCTTTCATTTTAAAAGCTACAGGAGTTTGATATTTCTCAGCATGTTGTAGAGGATTTTCATACCAACCAGAATGCTGTCATTGAGAGACATTCCATTTTAAGCAACTGGTGCTACATTTTGCCAAGGTAAGATTTGAGTTTGTAATGTACAGCTGATGTAACAACTGTTTCTGCACCACCGTGACCACAGTATCTGGTAGAAGAAACTTAGGGAGGGGAGGTTTTTCTGGGCTGACAGCTTTAGAGAGTTCATAGCATCCCACTGTGGAAGTCACAGTGGGGCAGCAAAGTTTGTCATCAAAGGCCAAGGAGCAGCAGTTGGAGGATTCCAGTATGGCAGGCTTTATCTTTTCCCCTCTTCTATTCTGAGCCCCCTGGTTATGAGAAGGCTCCACCCACAGCTAGGAAAAACCTTCGCTTCCCCTCAGTTAATCCTTCCTGGAGTTTCTCCTCACAGAGACATCTAGAAGAGTTCCTTAGTTATCACCTCATCGCCTAGGTAATTCTAAATCCAGTAAGGTTGCTAATAAAGATTAACAATCACTAGTGGATTCAGAATATTATAATGCTCGATAAATTTGTTTCTTAACACTTTGTTCAAAACTATAAACTACTTTGAACTTTTAAAAAACATAATTATATTGCTAGAAAGTACTGGAGCGGGATAGGAGAGATGGCTTTGGTGGTAAAGGACACTTGCTGCTCTCGCAGAGGCCCTCGGTCAGTTCTCCACACCTGCATGGCAGCTTGCAACTGTTTGTAACTACTTTCAGAGGATCTGGCGTCTTCTGGCCTCTTGCCCAGGCACACATGTGGTGCACATACATTCATGTAGGCAAATTATATTCAAACAAAACAAAGCTGGAAAGCACTAGAACAGTTTGCCACAATAGCAGAAGCTGTAACTCTCCCTGCTTGAAGCACTACAATAATTTATTCCTCATTCACATTTTTGCTGGTTCTGCTTTTAATAAACAGTAAAATTACCTAATTTCCCAGTACCACAACAATTCTAATACCAAAATGTATGAATGTTTACCTAATACTGATTTATTATAATTTAATGTGAACTGGTTTTGTTTGTATTATCAGAAAAAAATGATTAATTTCTGTTACCAAAATGTTTTAACTGACTCAGGAAAATTAAGGAAGGGTTTACAGATGGTAAAGCATCCAAGGGAAGGGTGTGATTGTGGCTCAGTTCTTACCTGACTTTCCCTCCATCTAACAAGCACCAGGCACACTGCAGATGGTAACGTTTTTACTTCTATTTTGTGTGTATTTGTGGTTGGTGCATTGTTTGTAGCAGGTCGACTCAGTTTTTCCTAATCCGTTCAGTTATTAATATTTAATACAAGTAAATGCCATACATAATAAACTCACAGTAAGGTCATTTTTAATGGTGGAAGGTTGAAAGCTTTTCATTAAGATCAGAAACAAGACAAGAATTTCACTTTTACAATTTCTATTCAACACAATACTGGTCCTAGAAAGAGAAGAAAATGAAAAGCCTCGTAACTGGGAAGGAAGAAGGTTAACTCTACTGTTCATCAACAATTTAATGCTACAAACAGAAAACCTTAAGAATTCCATTGAAATAGAACTTTGAAGTGAATTCAAAGAGTTGCATGCTATAGAACCAACTTATAAAACCCATAGTATCTGGTACACACCTATAATTCCAGAACATAGGAGGTTGAGGTAGAAGGACCATGATCTCAAGACTAACCTTGATTACTTAGCAAGCCTGTGCCTCAAACCACCACTGTCAACAACAGGAAAATTCAGCAGCATTTCCATACTTCATTAGGGAATATATAAAGAAGAAATTAATAAAACAATCTCATTCAAAGTAGCTAACAAAAAGAAATTCTAGAATAAATCTAACAAAAAGGTGAAAGTTAAAATTTAAAAATACTTCTAAAAGACATTGAAGAAGACATAAATAATTGTAAAGAGAGTTCAGTCATAGATTAGAGGAATTAGAACCATTAAAATATACACAATCTAGTCTACAGATTTTATGTAATCTCTACCAAATTATGCTATTCTTCAAAAGTAGAAAAAAGTTTTAATTTCATATGGAAATAAAGACCCCAAGGAACTAGAGCAATTTTGGGGGCATCACACTCTGATTTCAAACTATCGTACAAAACTATAATAATTGAAACAATAGGCAGACATACAGACTGACAGAACAGAACAGCTTTCTGTAAATTAAGTATTTATCATTTAGTGCTATGAAAACTTCATTAAAAACTTCAGGAAAGCATCGTGGCTTTGATCTGGGGGTGAGTTTTTTGTATGGCCCAAAACATTGTACAACAAAAGTAGAAATGGATCAACAGAACTTTCAAACCAAAACTCTTCTGCATACCAAAGAAAATAGTCAAAAGACTGAGGATCACCAGGAAGTATGAGAAAATACTTCTAAACCATTTTTCTCTTAGAATATTTTGTGCTTCTATAATAGAATGTTTGGTCCTGGATAATTTATATGCAATACGAACTTATTTCTCTTATCGGTCTGAAAGCTAGGAAGTCTGAGACTAAAGCACCAGCACATTAACTTTCTGCTGAGTTCTTTGCTCTGTCATTCCAGAGTAAACAGGCAAAGAGAGGTCCAGAAAGACACACAAAAAGGCCAAGATTGCTATTTTATAAGGAACTAAAACCTGAGATAATTACATCATTGTACTCATTGTGAGCAGAACCTTACCAGCATAATTACCTCTTAAATGGCTACAATGTCAATTAAATTTAGGAGGGAGCAAACACTCCATTCACATCAGGGTAGACATACAAAAACTCGATTCAGCAGCAAGAAAATAACCTGATTTTCAAATTAACAAAGAAAGAGCCGTTTCTTCTTTCTCTTCTTCTTCTTGCAGACAGGGTCTCACTGTGCAGCCCAGGTTGTCCTAGAATTCATGATTAGACTTTGAACTCGCCGAGTTACCCTTTCCCTCTGCCTCTCGAGTGCTGGGTTTAAAAGCAGATGCCACTAAACCCAACTTACATGGACAAAAGAAGATATCCAGATAGCTAATAAACACATGGAAAATCATTCAATAACAATAGGGAAATCTAAATTGAAATCATAATGAGATATAACCTCATATCTGTTAGAATGGTATCATCAAAAAGAAAAATATCAATAGATGTAGAAAGGGCCTATATAATGTCACACCCACTAGCCAACATTCTAAATAGAGAAAAATTTGAAGCAACCTCATTAAAATCAGGAATGAGAGAGGAATGTTCTCTAGCTCCATTCCTTTTCAATAAATTGAAAGTTTATAAAGTTCTAACTAGAGTTTTAAGATGAGAGAAGGAAACTAAAAGGATACAAATATCCCTATTTGCAGATAGCTTGATATTATATATACGATAACTCAAATATTGCACCAGAAAATTAGAAATCATCACTTCAGCAAGTGGCCGAATATAAAATTAACTTGCAAAGCTCAACATCCTTTCCACCCATCAATAACAAACATACTGAGAACGTAATCCATGGAAACATGCCCATTTACTATATCTTCAGGAGAGAGAGAAAAAAAAAAGATGGAAAAATTCCCAGGAATAAACCTAACCAAGGAGGTGAAAGGTCTGTACAATGAAAAATTTAATTTCTTAAGAAATGAATGGAGGAAGTCTCTAGAAAATGGGAAGACCTCCCATGCTCATGGATTGCTAGAAATACTACTGTGAAACCGATCATCCTGCAAAAAAGCAGTTTATAGATTCAATGCATTCTCAGTTAAACTCTGTATGAGCGATAGAAAAAACCTCTAAACTTCATATGAAAGCACAAAAGGCATGAATAATGTCAGCAATCCTGTATCTAAAAAATAATAATGACCCATTATCACCATACAATATTTAAGTCACATTACACAGAAATAGTAATAAAACCAGCATGATACAAAAGTAGACTTGTAGATCAATGGAACAAGATAGAAGACACAGTCTCAAATGCACATTAGTACAGCTGCTTGATATTCGATCAAGATGTCAAAAATACACCCTGGAGGAAAGAGAGGATCTTCCACAAACAGTCCTGAGAAATTTTGATGCACACATGTAGAAGATTTATATTTATTATCATGCACAAAATTAACTCCAAATAGATCAGAAACTTCAGAGAGAAACCTGAAAGTCTGAAATTGCTAGAAGAAAACAGACTATCCCTACAGGATATAGGTATAGAAAAGACTTTCTAATAGAACTTCAATGGCCCAGGAATCAGCCCCAACAATGAGCAAATGGGCTCTTATAAAACTAAAAGCTTATGTGTAATAAAGGAAATAATAAGTGAAGAGGAGAGAATCTTTACCAGCTATACATCCAACAGAGAATTAACGCTTAGAATATTGCAAAAACCTTAAAACAATAAAAGAATAAAGAAAAACAATCCAATGGAAGAGGGCTATAAATCTGTAGTGGTTTGAATGAACATGTCTCTTATAGGCTCAGGCATTTGAATTCTTGGCCTCCAGTTGATAATGCTACTTGGGGATACTTGGGGAGATAGCACAGTGTTGCTGAAGAAAATATATTACTTTATACTTTCTTTTACATTATAATTTAAAATTTTTTTATCTTATATCACTAGAGGTGGACTTTGAGAGTCTAAACCTCACTGCATTTCAAGTTCACTATCTCTCCTTTGTGTTTGTGGTTGAAAATAGGATCTCTCAGCTTTCTGCTCCTGCTACTATGTCAGCCACAATGGTCCTGATATTTTATCACAGCAATGGAAAAGTGGCTAATACAAGATAATTAGCAGAAAGTTCTGCAAGAAAAACAAAAGTGGTTAAGACCACCATTAGCAAACAGGGAAGTGGAAATTTAATAACTTTAAGGTTTCATCTTGCCCCAGCCAGAATGGCTAAGAACAAATAAACAACTTGCAGTAAATGCTATCAAGGATATAAAGAGAGGAGAACCTTTACCCACTGTTGGTAGGATAATAGGATTGTGCAGCCACTATGGAAATCAGTGTAGAGAATGCACACACAGACTCACATTCACACAGACACACACACAGAGAGATCTACCATACAATCAAGCTACACCACTCTTTGGTATACACCCACAGGACTTGATACCCTACTACAGAGACTTGCTCAGCTGTGTCCAGGACTCTATTCACAAGAGCCAGAGAGTGGAAACAGCCTAGATGTCCATCAAGTCATTACTAGATAATGGAAATGTACACATCCACAGTGGAATTCTACTCAGTTATAAAGATGAAGCCATGAACTTTTCAGGTGAAGGAATGGAACTGAAAAATATACTGAGTGAGATAACCCAGACCCAGAAAGACAAATGCTCTCTCTTCTTTGTGGGCTCTCAGTCTAAATCTATAGGTTTGAGTGTATAACTTAGAGTAATCACGAAAGCCAGTGAGGGATGAAAAGTAGGGCTAGAGCAATGTCAGAACATAGGTGCTATGAAGGGGGAAGGGGAAACGGGATGGGGCATTAACTGGGTAGCAGTGAGGAAGCATAATCTATGTATGATATATATATGGAGAGTGAAAACATGTTTTGAAGCACTTGCCCCACAGAGCAGAATAAATCACCTCCCGGAAGACTTGGACTATTTTACAAAAACCCAAGTGTCAGGCAGGGGCTACTTTCTTGTTAGTCAAGAAGTCCGTTGTTCTTAGTTACCTAACAAACGTGAAGGTAAGACCCTCTTGCTGAAGACACTACAAACTTTGCTCCCAGGACCTGTAGAAACCAAGCTGAAACTTATCTGGGAGTCTCTTCCCTGAAGATAATTGTCATGTGTTAGAAGGTGCTGTGCCAGATGCCTCAGGAGAAAGATATCAATAGTCTTACCCAACTCTAAAGCCCGAGAGCCACAATAATAGCGGGACTCGCAAGATAGTGTAATAGTGACCCTTGTGTCCTGATGATAGTGCAATAGTGGCCCTTGTATCCTGATGATAGTGCAATAGTGGCCCTTGTATCCTGACGGCAGCCAAGCTGTGTCTAATAAGAACCGCTCACTTGGAAGTAACTCCTGCCTGCTAATGTAAATTTCCCCAAGAGTCTATAGCTGGGAAGGGCCCATACTGTTAAAGTAATACAGCTGCCAGTAAGTTTTCTTCTGCATGCTCATCCATCTGCTCCTCGATAAGCGCCATTCGCACATCTTACAAGAGAAGCTTCTTTTTGCAGCAGACAGTTAGAGCCACAGCCCATCAAAATGCAGAGAATAAATGACTGTGGCTTCCCCATCCCGCAGGGGAAATCTGAAATCCAACACCTACACCCATGGCTCAGGGAACATCTTGGAAGTTGGGGTGGAAAGATTGTTAGAGCCAGACAACTGAGATACCTGCTCTCTGACGGTTTCTTCTGGACAGGGGTGTTGCACCCATGAACTCTCAACAATGTAGTTGCCTGCATAAAACCTGTAAAGACCAAACCCATCAACACACCGATGTGGATTGGAAGAAAATGTCATAAGGTTCCACCCCCAGATGAAAAGCTGTAGGCAATGTCTGTTGAGGGACAAAGAACCAATTTTTGGTGTTTTGTTTTGTTTTTAAGGACAAGACCTCAGGCCTTAAAGGTCAGCTTATTTAATTTACATTTATGCAAATAAGTACAAAGTAATTAGACTCAGTAGGTCATATATTCATACATACATATGTAGTTGATTTTTTAAAAAATCTTTTACTCTTTGGGGACCTGTCACCCAGCTCCCAAAGAAATACACTGAGACCATTTTTGCTTTTGAATACCTGGTATTAGCTTGGCAGGCCTCTTTCTCTTTATTCTCTCTGCCCACCAGTCCCTTGCACCATTTCTTTCTCTTGCCTAGGTATCTGTCATTTAGCTATTTATTAGACCAATCAGGTGTTTTAGGCAGGCACAGTAACACAGCTTCACAGAGTTAAACAAGTGCAACATAAAAGAATGCAACACATCTTTGCATCATTAAACAAATGTTCCACAGCATAAATGAATGTAACACATCTTTAACTAATATTCTACAACACACACACATACATACATATACATATATATTTAACAAACAAATATAGAAGGTTCATGAATTAAAAGGAAGTGGTTGGGAGGATAGGGAAGTTGAGGGAAGGGCAAAGGCAGGGTGGAAAGGATAGAAATACAGTATAGTCATGTACAAAATCCTTAAATTAAAAGAAATGTAAGCATCCCATGTAATAGGGATATCAACATGCTGCTCACGAGAATGTAAATTAATACAAATACTATAGACAACAATATGGAAATTTCTTAAAATGCTAAATATGGAATTACCACATGATCATTAATCCTATATGTCCAAAGGAAATAAGTCATCAAATAAATAAAATCAGCATGTCAGAGGTATTTCTGCACTCACATCCATTGCAGCACCCTTCACTGTAGGTGAAACATGGATACAGCATAAGCATCTATCTGATAGAACAGATAAAGATGTGGTGTGTATACACATGGAACAACATTCAGCCTTAAAGGAGGGCAATCCTGTCATGTGCGACAATATGGATGATGAACCTGAAACATGTTATACTAAGCAAAATAAGATAGACAAATTCTATGTGATCTTATATGTTGCATCTAACAAGTTGAACTCATGAAAACAGTAAAATTGCAGTTACCAGGGGTAGGATGGCGCTTTGGACTACAGCAGAGAGATGTTGATAATCACAGTTACCAGGGGTAGGATGGGGCTTTGGACTACAGCAGAGAGAAGTTGATAATCACAGTTACCAGAGGTAGGATGGGGCTTTGGACTACAGCAGAGAGATGCTGGTCACTGATAAAGAATCTCAGACAGAAGAAATACATTACAAACAATCTGTGTATAACACACTTTAGTGAATATCAACAAATTGTTGTTCTTGAAAATTACTACAAATAGATGTATTTGCACCACAAAAATATGTACATATGTGAAGTAATGTATATATGAAGCTGATTAAGGCATTCCACAACCTATTTATAATTCAAAGCATATCAAATATATTTAAAATTTACGTGTCAAAACAAAAGACTTAAGGTAATGGGGTTTTCTCCTCAATGCAAGAGATTAGTTTGTCATTTATATGTGAATAGTGATATCACTCGCTAAGTCTTTTGGAATACTTTCTAAAGCACAGTTAACTTCTCAAACAACGTTTACCTATATTTAAGCAGTGACGTAACGTTGTATCAAATCTCCTTGTTCACAGTATGAAAATGGGACAGATAATAAACGTTCTTCATACTCCACCACCTGACTGTCCCTTCCGTTCCTTCGACGATTTCCGGAGGCACTGGGATGACCTGGTAAGAAACACATGTGCATCTCATTAAGTGTTATTTGATCTCTGCTTGCCATGTAACACAAGGACAGACTCCTCCAGCAAGATTTATATCGTGTGCTTAATTTATAGTACGGCTATAAACTTCCGGAAGACCATGGAGACCTGAAAACATACTGTAGCATCTACTTCAGAATGGCCAAAGAAAGGACCTTCACGTATCCTTTGCATACTGATGATAGCAGATACTTTCTGTCTGCCTTGTGAACCAGGCTTGCTCATGCCCCATGCTGTCTTTATTTAAGGGACCCACGTTTCCTGCACAGCTGTTTTTAATTTAGCTTAGAAGATGATATTAATAAGAATTTTTGTGGATGTTTATTTTGGGTATTTTTATTTTGTTTTTGAGACAGGTTTCATATCACCCAGACTGGCTGGGAACTCACTGTGTATCCCAAGCTACTCTGGAATTTCTGATACTCCCATCTGTACTTTTCAAGTGCAACTATTACAGGCATACGCCACCACATCCAGGTTTTGCTGAGGATAGGATTAGGTCCAGTACTCACTGCAAGACTCTATATTACATCACTCTGCCAGCTGAGCTACATCTCCAACCTCTCATCTCCTAATCTTTAATAGATCTTAATTGCTTCTAATAGGAAACTACTTTAGTGACAGGAAGGAGATAAAGTCTTGTTATGTAACCCAGGCTATTCTTGAACGAGCCATCCTCCTGCCTCAGTTTTTTCAGTGCTGGATTTACCACCATTCCAGGCTTTAAAGACTAAATAATTTAAATTTAAATTTAGAGAAGAAAAGAAAATTCAGACTAGCAAAAAGTATGTACATGTATTTGCTAGTAGAACATTAAGAAACCAACCATAGGATTCTCCTTAGCCAAGAGCTCCCCCCAGTGTTGCTCAGGCAGTATTGAACGGGTTAAGTTAAAGGTCACTAAGACCTTCCTCTTTGGAAGATTTGTTTTTAGATTTGACTTGCACTTAACACACTGCATTGATTTAGGAAAATAGCTTTCTTAATATTACTTTAAAAATATACACAGAAACAGAACACAAGACCGTGGGTGGAGCTCTTAAATCTTAATTAGCGCGGCTTTTGCCATTCTGACAGTGGGGTTTAGGACTAGAAGAGCCAGTGTTCTGTGCTCTTTCCTAACCCAGGCAAAGCGCAATCGACACCAGCAGCAATTCCCTTCCTTTAAGTGCCAGCACTATCCCACGTGTATACAGGATTTCTCACTAGGAAAAGTGACTGTTTCCCTTGAAGGACTGGTTTTGAAGTCTGAATATAATTGGTAATGGGTTTCTTCTCCGTGCCAAGCTTTCCATTGCTTTGAAGATAAGAGCAGCTTAGTATCTACTAATTTTGCCCTTAGACTCTGTGCGGGTGATAGATGGCACTGTGATCTACTCTACTTCCAGTTCTACTTACAAAACAAGGACACGGTGATTCATCTTGTTGTCTCATATCACACACACACACACACACACACACACACACACACAATTTTTAATAAAAATAAACTAAAATAGAAGAAAAGAAGGAATGCTTTTTAGCTTTGAAAACAGTAGAATATAACATAAAAATAGAATCTGTTTGTATCTTGTCAACATTGCCGCCTTTTTGAAGAAGGAAAGTGCTGTCTTGCAGACAGAAACCTTCGTGTTGCTCTTTAACCTTCCCCCTCGCTCAGGTACCCTCTCAGCTGCATCAGGAGTCAGCCCATCCAGTTCTTCCCGAGGGTGGATTTGGAAGGCGTGCTGAAAAGCTTTCTTTCAGACTTAAAATCTAAACTGCCTCATATATGTGGATTTCCCATAAAGATGACAAGCAAGCCTTGCTACTACACACAGGAGCTAAGCAGACCACAGACACAGGTAAAACTTTTATCTCATCCAGCATCTCTGAATTCTTTAGCAGATCACAAACTTTTCTTGGTACAGCATCTCACAAGTGCTATTTATTGTTACTGCTACTTAACTGTTTGCCCTACCGTTGTTATTATTGCATTTCATGACACACAATCATTCTTTCTGATGTGTTTCATCCATATCTGTATATATGTGGACTGGGTTACTGGAGATTAGAGAGAGAGAATGTTGTGAACTGCTCAGCTGGACAGTCTGACCAGGGAAAGCCTGTTCAGGAGAAGTAGGTGCCTGTTGCCCACTCGGCGGAGTCAGGAGAAGTCTTCTCTGAATCCTACAGCAGGAGAAAAGCCATCACTGGTGCCTGCCTGAGCAAGGCATTAACTTCAGGAGGAAACCAGCATGCCTGACTCCCCGTCATTTAAAGCCAATTTATTTTATTTCTCATAAGCTAGGGACTCGGCTTTAGCAAGACAGACAAGTGTGGTGCCACACACAGAACCAAATTTCAATAAATAACCCACATCTGAATAGTCATTCTCTTACTTTTCCATTTTCTTTTTAAACATTTTTAAATTTTCTGTCTCCCTCCCCTGACATTTTATAACACTGCCCATTACTGCTAGTTTAGGTAGAGTGTGCCTCTCTGGATTATATTATCTCCAGTTTCAGTAATCATGGTGTATGTGCTTGTGTGTGTGAGTGCATGTGCCTATGTGTGTTTGTATGTATGTGTGTATTTGTGTGTATGCATGTATGTGTGTGTGCGTGCTTGTGTGTGTGTGTGTGTGCATGCATGTGCATGTGTGTGTGTGGCTAAGCCTAAGCATACTGACCTCTTTTTGCCTCAACTTTCCTGGATGTTAATGGTTAACAGAATGAAAGACCCTGTCCTGATTTTCCGACACCCAAAGCATGGATGCAGCAGAAGGGCTTTCCCCTTCAGTAACATCCAACCACGAAGCCCAGATAAGTAGTAGGCTTATCAAATTCTTCTTCCTTATTACCTTAATACTGGGATGCTGTTGGGTATCTGTAAAATATTTAGTTTATTTAATTCTATATCATTATTCAAAGTTGTATACATTATGTGTCAGTTGGCTCATGGCTCCATAGAGCTGCAGCTGTTGACAGCTTAAGAATATTTAAGTTCTGTGAATTATTTATGATCTCATCTGTTGTTTGCACAGGCCCTTTTTGCTTTTTCTATACATTTTGAATATAAACCTAAAAGTTTCCTCCCTTTTGGCTATGTACAGTATTTTAAAGTTAAAACAATGAGTAAACAATGAATTGAGAGGCTAGGGAGCAAGCGGTCCCCTGGGCACGGCTCTCGCTGCATGTGTGCTTCAGACAAGGGCTGGAAAGCAGGTGTGAGCGTAGCTATCTCAGGCGCAGACACACACGTCCGCAGAACGCAAGTCATCTGTCCTTATCCGAATCCGCCTAGAGGTTTTGGTGTGTCTCAAGTAAGAGGTACATTAAAAAAAAAAAAAAACATACAGTTTGTGAAACCCAAGGATCTAAAAAGCAAGTGTTCTTTGCTTGTCTATAATTAGTTTCAACTTAGTTCTCAGATATGTTCCTTTCAAGGCAGTGGGAAAACACTCACTCTCCAGAGTGACTCCATCAGTTGTGACAAAGTGTCTCCTGGTATTTGATGGGATAATTTAAGAGTATTTGCAATGACAGCATCTGTGTGTTATGTAGCACGTGTAAGGCAAGGGCAGTGGTTTGTGGGGAATGTGTTGGTTGTCTAGTGCTCTCTGTGGGGAAGAGCAGACACCCTAATGTCGGACTGCACTGGACCCAGACATCCAGTGAGTGAACAGTGAGACTTCTGCCTAACGGCGACTGAAGTCAAGGGAAGTGTTTGTAGCTGACTTTTTCAGTAAAGCTGGCACAGGCGTTGCTTCCCCTTCCTTCCAACTTCCCACAGTTGATATGTGCATCTAATTGACAGGGTGTAAATCAACACCCTAAATGTCAGTGAGAAAACGGCACATTGGACTTCATAGGTGCTTGTTCCTGAGGAAACAATGGGAAGACGCGAGGCTCCCATCGTGAGTGGGAGACGCCGTCCTCTTGCCCGGCTCTGACGGTAGTCGTAGTCTTTGCTCAGATGATGTCTTGACAAAGAGGCTATGCTATGCCTATCAGACAGATTTTAGTTTGTTGTTAGTTCCCTTATAAAGAGGAGACTCTGAAGAATGTCTGTATTACTCTTTTCATTCTCCAGAGGATAAGAATTGTGACCCCAAAGTGTATGTATTGAAGCCCCAATTTTTCTTAATTTTAAGCCACATTACTTTTATGTGCCCTGTTTTGCCCTAGATGACTGGATCAATCTTATCATTTTTTTGTGCCTACCTATAATTCTGATCTCCCTGAACTCTCCACTGGTCTCTTCCCAGCCTCATTCAAAAACTGAAACTCGGTAGGAGAAAGAAAAATCAATTGTTCTGGTTTGCATAGTATTCCTATAACTTTTATGGTTTTTGTTTCAAGCTGTGACATATTTTTAATCTGTAAGAGCAAGAAGATAAATCTGTGGTCTACATTTTATGCTATTGTCAAATTTTACTATATTACTTTACTTTCTGTTGGTAAATACCATGACCAAAAGCAACACAGGATTGGGGAGGCATTTGCTCCACCAACTAACACTCAATCATTGAGGAAACTGAGAGCAGGAATTCAAGCAGAAGCAGAGGCAGGCACCGTGCAGAAATGGTACTGACTGGCTTGCTCTCTGTGGCTTGCTGAGCCTACTTTCTTATAGAACCCAGGAACGCCTTTCTGAGAGTAGCGCTGTCCACGGTGGGCTAGGCCCTCCAACATCAACGATGAATCATGAAAATACCTCCACAGGGGTGCTCATATGCCAATCTGACAGACGTCATTCCTCAGTTGACACCCCCTTTTCCTGGTGACTCTAGTTTGTGACAAGTTGCGAAAATCTAACTAGTTTAGTTTTTCTTATACAGCAGTGAAAGCCCAGTATACCTTTATTTCAAAACAATAGAAACACTTTCCATCAACAATTGAATAGATAAGAAAAACATCATATATACGTACTATGCAATAGTGAATCACAAGAAAAGAAATCCTGATACGTGCTGCAACATACCTGAATCTTAAAAAAAATAGTATGTTAGGTGAAATAAGTATGCAAAGAAAATATTGTATGATCTCGTATGAAGTGTCTAGAATGGGAAAATCATAGAAAAAGAAAATAGAGCAGGTGTTGCCAGAATCCTGGAGCAAGGGGAAGTGTGAGTTATTATTTACAAAGGTCAAACTTTTGGATTTGTGTGGGCAGAAGAACCGGTAGGTGGCAGTTCTGTCCCCCAGGACAGTGGTAGGTGTGCTAGAGGCCTTTGAATTGTTCACCTAGGCTGAAGCAGTGGAACCGGCTCCTTTCTTTTTGTTTCTTTATTTAAATATGGGGCACTTCACAAATTTGCCTTCATCCTTGCTCAGGAGCCATACTAATCTCTGTCTCGTCCAGTTCTAGTCTGGGCTCACAAGTGAGCATGGAACGACTTGATTTTCTATGCAGACAGTTTTTAAAGATGAGGACACACTTGGATCTCTTGGCTGTGTCTAACTAGTCGGTTTGAGAAGGGCTCACCAAGTTACTGCCAGGCACCGAAACTGAGGGTGCTAACACAGGCAGGCTTAAGATATGCACCCTGCCCTGAAGTCAAAACCCCACTTAGAGGTCTCGAACAAATGCATGCACCCCTCCATTAGATCTTACAGTTGATTTACATAGTGCTGTAATGTGGGATGAGAAATCTACACATTTCACCAGAAGGCTCCTTTGTATTTTCCATTTCAATGGTTCTATGCATTTTAGTGTTACTTTGTGTTTGTATTCTGATACTTTGTATTTTCTTTCCTGTTTCACTTATATTATTAATATTACACTTTTACATTTTCCTAATCTCCATCCTTCCAGGAAAACAAAGTCAAACCCCCCAATCTGACGACGAAAAGCCACTTCAGAGCGGCTCTGACTCAAGCCTCTTTGCTGAAGCCCTCAGGGGCGCTACCTTTAGTCCCACAGCCAACAGCAGCCAACCACAAGGTGGAGCCTTTGGTCAGCCAGCAGCGCTCAGGCTTGTCCTCAGCAGGCCGCTTCCAGCCAGGGTCTCCGCAGGACAGAAAGCCCGCCAGGCCTCTCAGGGCGCCACCCCTACGTGTGGGGCAGTCAAAACCCAGCAGTGAAAATACACAGACTCAATGCGATAATCTTTGCTCACAAAGTAAGAGGGCCCCGGCGTTCATACCAGTTTTCAAAAGGAAATCTGAGCAAGTGAGCAAAGACATCTCAACACTTGGCAGCGTGAAAAGAAAACAGAGCGCGGTTACACAACCGACCCTACTGGCGCCGAAAACCAGCGTAACCCAGTGGGGCAAACCAAGCTTAGGTTCAGCTCCGAGAAAAAGACCAGAAAGTAACATTCAAATCCAGGCTAGGAATTTAAGTCAGAAGAACGTCAGACCTCTGCTAGGGAAAAGCTCTGAGTTGTGTGAGCCTGAGGGGAAACGTCCCTCTTCTGAGGTGGAGCGGGCTGCGCACCTCACTGAAGGTGGGCCACTGTCTACCAACACCATGACACAAATATCAGATAGTAGTTTAAGTGTGGTAAAAAGTGCTGGTGACAGCCACACTGGCAGAAAATGCAATTTAACAAGCAGATTTATAACACAAATTTTGGGGAAAAGCCATGAGTCACTAAGACTCAAAAGCCAGCCACACATTTTTGAATCAGACTTAGAAACGGGAGACTCCCAACTGCAACAGCAACAGTTAGCAGATCAAACTGAAGAAGCTGACGCAGCCGAACATGGCCTAATAGAGGGCAAAGCATCCCAGAAACACAGACGGAAACTAAGCCTTGAGTCTTCACAATCTTCTACAAAGCATCGTTCTAATGCCGCACATCAGAGGCAATCTGGTTCTTCTAGGAAACAGGTAAAAGTTTGTTTTTCTTTCAACCTGGAAAAAAAATCATGATAAGATGGCTACACTTTTAGAGTCTTAAATAAGAATGTAAATAATGTGCGCAAGTTGATGTAGAAATGTGGTAATTAAGAAAGCCAACCCTGCTCTACCTTAAAAAGGATTAAGAATGTTGTGCCCCTCTTAATCCCAGCACTTGGGAGGCAGAGTCAGGAGGATCTCTGTGCATTTGAAGCCAATCTGATCTACAGAGCGAGTTCCAGGACAGCCAGGGCTACACAGAGAAACCCTGTCTCGAAAAACAAAAAACAAACAAGCAACAGCAAATAGGACATCTAAGGACATTCATGGCTCACAGAACATTGTAGAACGGGAGCAGAAAGGTTGTAAGAGCTGGAGTATGGGGTGGGGTGGGGTGGGGTGGGGTGGGGTGGGGGATGCTATGAAACAGTGTCTCTGCACCCGTGAACTCACTGTGGCTATGGTTCCCTGCAAGAAGAAAGACCTGAAGGAGACTGGGCCCCCCACCCCCAACATTTCATGGGTTGGGGAAAGGGGATCATGAGTTCCCACTCACTCGGAGAGAATATGAGCTGCTTAGGGTTGCTTTGGTGGTGTAATCACCAACATGTTGACCATGCTCCAACAAATGACTTCCCACCATGCTCACACAAGTCACCAAAATTAAACTCAGTTGGTCAGAAATTTCAAGGCATCAGAGTAGGAGCAAGACTTGTTTTAAAGGGTTTTGGTGGAAAATGGAGGAGGGTTTGAGGAGGGCCTGGGAATGACAATGGCCAGAATTCACTATATACATGTATAAAATTGTCAAAGAATTTTAAAGAGAGAGATTAACTCTCCTAAGAATCAAAACTGTTTGTAATATGGTTAACTTATAACAAGATGCCACTCTTCAATTTATACAGGTACCTAACACAACAAAACCTAAGAAGTCCTTCAGAATTCCTGAGGCCGAGTACAGTGTGGAACCACCCACCAGGTAACCGCAGGGCGTGCCCTTGCTTACATTACTTGAATAGAGAGAACAGCACTTAGGTTAGCAAGGGAGTAGGAACAAGACCCCTATGGATAAGCGACTGTTTCCCCTGTGTGGACCCAAAGAAGAATGGCTTTGAGAAAGGACCCCTCGGGCTCCCTTCTCTTTAGTTCTGGGTCCCACAGACTAGGAAGCCAGCTGACTGAATATGCAAGTCTATGGCCCCACTAAAATATCCTTCTCCTTCGGCATGACTGAAATAGCAGCATTTAAGTGAAGTCCCAGAGCTAAGCATCACATTGAAATCCACTCACGAAGTGGGAAGATGCCAGCTATGCTGAAACTTGAGATTTAACTTTCATTCTGGGTCCTGGCACCAAATTCACAAAGCTGTACATCTGGCCACAACATTTTATTCCTTGTTGCCATCTGCTCTGTCCTGAGAACAAACACGACTGAAGCATCTACAAACATTCTTCACATAAAACCACTGGCGTGCGTTCAGATCCTTTAAGAACCAGCTAGACAGCTGCTTTTCTGTTCCAAATGCTAGTTCTTTCTAGAGCTAACAGAATCGTCAACCTGATTTGAATTAACTAAAAGGTGCCTAAGTCTATTCTTATATAAATTATGATGTGGTATTTTATGTAGTTCTAAACATCTTCATTTTAATACTCTCATGTGCCTGGGGAAAATATTGTGTATACCTTGGACATGGCTTTTTGCATTTTTAGAGATGAATCTATTCTAGGTCCCATGGTCTTAGAAATATAGTCACTTTCTCATTTTGAATTGCTTAATGCCTGACATGTTAACATGAAATCATTCTATTAGGAAGAGTATCATGATGAGAAAATTGTAGTTTCTGTAGTAATCAATGGACAATACTATCCCCCCGCTATAAAATTAATATATACTTATATAAAATTTTTTGAGTAATATGGAGTAGTTCAGTAAATAAGTTAAAAAAAAATGGTCGCTGGAGATATGACTTAGCAGTTAAGAACACTGACTCCTCTTCCAGAAGACCCAGGTTCAGTTCCCAGGACCAACATGGTGGTTCACAACAATATATAACTCCAGTTCCCGGGGATATAATGTCATCTCCTGGACTCTGTGGATAACAGGCTTGCACATGGCACACAGTCATATATGCAGGCAAAACACCCATACACATAAAATAATAAATTTCTGAAAAGTGAAACTCTACCTACAATTGCTCTTTCAGGGATGATCTCCCAGAGCACAGATGAAGTTTTCCAGACACGGCCTATGGGTGAGACGCAGGCTGTGTGTGCGGCCCTGGGGCTTCCTGCTTCACTCGGCTCTTTTCTTCTCAGTTTTTGCACAGTGTTTTATTGAGTGTGGAAATGCCATGGTTGACTAGCTCCCTATTGATGTTACTTAAGTTGTTTACAAACTTTCAGTATTGTAAGGCATGTAAATTGTTCTATACAGAATGCTGCAAGTTACTGAAGTTTCTTATATGGTACATTATTATTTTAAAGAAGGAGTTTCACTCTGTAGCCCCAGCTTGCCTGGAATTGCTATAAAGATCAGGCTGACCTCAAACTCACAGAGATCTCCCTGCATCTGCCTCCCCTGTACCACCTTATCCAATGTAGTGTTGGCTCCGGGGATTTCACAAGGATGGAAGGAGAAACCACCAAGTCTTTTAAACCAGGAGCAAACTTTATTCCAGGAAAAGAAAAAGGGAAAATCTCTGCGGGGCACAAAAACGTATCAGCTATAGCAGTGACCATAGCCAGACTGGGATTCTGAGACTGTGGCCACGGGCAGTTTCCAAACTCCACTTTTTATAGCAAGAAGCAAGCATTAGGCATGAAGAAAAGAATTTTTATAATCCCGAGGTAAAACTCAGATACAAAGTGCTTTTTTCTTTTACAGTTTCCATTAGCAAGGTTTTTCAGTCAAACTAGTGTTTGTATTTAGCCTGTTGTTTCTCTCTGGCACTTTCTGATGGTGTTTACCAAAGCTCTGCGCTGCCCCTGATACTGCCAGTTTTGCTTAGCAGGAAGGGTATGGGACAATGCACAACCAAGAAGTCAGGCACACCCCATCATTTAAAAGTTAACTCAGCTCACATCAGTTGCTGGTCATGAGTGGCTGGGGTGGGGTGGGGTATCTCAAAGCTCACCCTCCGTTAGCGGAGGGACGGACTTGCCCTGAAGGCTGAGTCTGGTCTTTAGCAAACTCCTGTAGGCTGTGACTCAGGCTCAGGGATATATAGGTGATGGAGCAAGTGTCCAGAATCCCCTGCTTGTCCTCCATGAACAACCCTCTAACACCGAAAGGAACAGGAGCAAGAAGTACAAATAGTGCGTCTCACAAATGAGAATTCCTCCCTTTCACAACTTTAAGACTTTAAGTGGATTTGATAGCATACCAAAGATATTTTTAAAGTCAAAATGCTTCACTGAATGTCCTACTTCAATAATCCTTCATCATATAAAAAACACAGCAGGAAATCAAGTGTAAGCTGACCTATGATTGTTTACATATGGTTTGCTGTTGCTACCAATTCATCAAAACACTGGAGTTAGACAAAAGCAAGTCCTAACCTCCTTCCCATGTGACTGTGGCTCCCACTCCCAGAGTTATGGCTCACAATTAGTTTGCTCTGTGCCTTACTGTGAACACTTCTATTTCCACAACTATCTCTAGCTCCTAGTTCATCATCTTTATAGGAAGAAAGTACATTTAATTCAAAGCCCATTTTAACTCCTTTCTCATGAAGCCCATGTTGTGGAAAGTCAGCAGACCACAGTAAACACCAGAGCATTGTTTTGCTTGTGTAGAAATGTATTTCATTGAGAGTGATGTACTGAAATATACACATGTGGTCAGCACAGTCATCCACACGTGGTCATTCTTGGACCAGCCTTCCCAGGTGCTTCCTGGAGCTGCTCCATCATCACACCTTAGGCTAGGAAGACATCATATTACTCAACTCAGCAAACTAGTCAGATAATGAGTCTACGCAGAAGCAATGTATAGCGCTTCCCAGTTCTTCACGGAATCTTTATAATCCCTCTTCCTCCACTCTACTAATCTGGACTACTTAGAACTGACAACGTACTATTCCTTTCTGTTTTCTTAGACGGGGCATCACGTAGCCCAGGCTGATCTTGAACTCACTGTGTAGGTGGGATGGCTTTGAACTGCTGGTCTTCCCACCTCTGCTTCCAGGCTGCTGGGTTATAGCTTGCTCCACTTATGCCATGCTGGAGACTGAATCCGGGGTTTGTGCACGTGAGGCAAGCTCTCTACCAACTGAGTCACAGCCCAAACACTAGTGCTTCATTTTAGATGAGTGTTCACATACGTATAGGGTTTGCTGTGCTAACATGAATCTCTATGAGTCTGTTTTCTTTATAGTACATTTCTGTCTTACAATTATTCTAATGAAACACACACACCAAAAATTTGTGCTCAGATTACCAGAGAAATCAATGAGAATCTTGGTTCATACTAAAGATTTTAGTTCTGAGGGCTGGAGATGACTCAGCAGTTAAGAACACTTGCTCTTCTTGTCAGGGATGCACGTTTATTTCCCAGCACCATAGAGCTGCTCACAACCACCTGCACTCAGGTTCCAAGGGGATCTGACATCTTTTTCAGCCTCCCAGGCACCAGTCACACACATGATACATACATACATACAGGCAAAACACTCAAAACACAAAATAAATGTTTTTAAAAGACTTCAATTTCTGAGAGCCAAAATAATTGCAGTCAATTGGGAGGAAAAAAAATCTTTTTTTTATAGGGTCTTGATGCTTTGTTTGCAGTATGGACCCTTTCCAAAAATCCTTATTTTTCAGTTCTGCATTACAGAGCCATTCCAGGTCTAAACAGTAAGCGGTTTTATGTTTGCCTATATCCAGAGATTTAGAAATCAACCACCAACTTATGGAAATAGGCGAAACTCAATGCCAAGAATCACATTTATAGTTATGTAAAAATGTTTCTCATATATATTAGCTGCTTGCTATGATTGTATTCGGTTTTATGTTTTTATCGTATATTATAATTATTTTTACTTTATTTGTGTCTGTCACAAATAAGATAAAAACTTTGAGCATCTCACTGAATGGCTTTTATTTTTCTAGTTTACCAACCAGTTTTTACTCTGTTTTCAAGTTGCATGTGATCTACTTTTATTCTGGACATGCTAGGATATGACTATTTGCTGATAATTATAAATAATAAAAAGATTTAAAGATGCATGACCCCATGTGTTTATGTTTAGAATGCTCATGTTATATATTATTTCAGAAGACAAACAGTTAAGGCATTTCAAATGCATTTACTTTTCAGATGTCAGGGTGACCATACAGAGATGGGCCGGCTTAGTGACCCTGCAAATTCCTTCCCACTGTAGTTCATTTCCTAAGCCAGCTTAGGTCCTTAGTATGTCATAGAGTTTTACTCTCAAAAGATCTTCATTTCATCTTAAAAAGTTACTCATTAGCTGGGCTCTTGGGAGGCAGAAGCAGGTGGATCTCTGAGTTTGAGGCCAGCCTGGTCTACAGAGTTCCAGGATAGCCAGGTCTACACAGTGAAAGTCTGTCTCAGAAAAGAAAAGGGATATTCATTAAAGTATTTGCTATGTATCAAGCACTTCTGAAGCTTAAAAGAAGGTGGTGGCGTTGGTTTACAGCAGGGAAAGAAAGATGAGGTTCTTAGGCACAAAAAACAGCCTGTGGTTCAAGGAGCACCAAGGAGTCTAGAGTGGCTGAAGTTAAAGAAGCCAGAGGGGAGATGGAGTTGACCACATTGGGTTCCATGCACCTGGGAGAGCGTTTGCTTTATTCCACAGGGTGGCCCAATCTGACAGGCTACTGCAGCTGCTGTAGCACGGATAGATTAGGGCTCAGGGAATAGGAGAGAAGGTGAGAGACCAGCTCAGAATCCTGGCCGTTGATAAATGTCAGGACCACCATGGGTGCAAGTAAGGAAGTTATAAAATGGTCCTGGTGTCTTGTGAAGGGTAGAACCTGAAGGGTAGGAGTTCAGGGCTATCTCCAATCGTGCCTGTGGCTTGATAGCTTGGAAGGATGAGATCCTAGCTTACAGTGCTGAGCCGAGACTTACCAGAGAAACACCAACAGAAACACCAGATACTCGGTCTCCTTCTTCAGGGAATCCAGAGTTTCTCAGAGTGACACATTTTCCTGGCCCCCTCTGGTCTCCAGACCCACACAGTTGTCCAGTGGTGAGAGCAGAAGCACTGGATGCAGAAGAGCCCTCTGTGTGTGCTGGGGACTAATGGCATGCCTTCTCAGACAATTCTATGAAAGCTCAGCAAAACTGTGCAGGTTGTAATAAATGATTATGACCTATATTTTTATAATATGTATTCATTATAATATATAAGTATAATAATTAATAAATGCATATTATTATAATATATAAGTATATATTATAATAAATAAATATAAGTATATTATATATAAGGACTTTTATATGTTATAAAGTAGAGAAATCCCTGTAACTTGCAAAGCAATAATTCTGTCTGCCTCTTTCCTTCTAAGAACCAGCTTTTGTACTTTGTAAACCAAAATAACCTATACTTAATATGGGATTGTAGAAATGAAAGAGAGGAAAGTGTTTTAGTCATATTTTTTCTCTGACCAGATTTACCACATTTCATTATTTTGCTGCCTCCCATAGCTTTGCAGTCCCTAAGGAAATGAGATGAAACCGAGAAGAGCAACAGAAAGTAGGATACTCGATACCCCAGGATGCAAGCACCCAATCCGGTCACACGATGATTAAATTTAGCTCTTGTTAATCTGATTTCAAGTGCAGCTCCGTTCTGAGGGATGATGAGAAACAGAATGTTTGTTCCACATCATCACAAAATATTTTCATCAGAACATACGAGTTTGGCTTCCCCTGCCTGACAGAACATCAGCATGGTACAGGAAGGATCTCCTTTCAGAGACCACTGAATAGTCCGTCTGCTGGGTCAGTTCAGTGAGGTGTATAAAGCCAAGGAGAACATTAACTAGCATGCCTTGCTGCTCTTCTCTCCACACATGCACACAGGCAGGCTCACCATCTCTACCTGTCCTGCCTGGGAAGGCAGCATGGCCACCTGATGCTGGGACCCATGACATTCTTGATGGGCAGCCTCATCCTTGGAGGCCTTAAAGTGCAGAGAAGCTGCTTATGTCCAGAGAGGGCACCTTGAGATATTCAAAGATGGTTCTCTAGCAAGGCTGTGTAATTCCCAAGGGATGAGAATCAGGGAATAAGAAAGGGGGATTTACAAATCAAACTGTTTTACTGGTTTTGATTAATTAGTAACTTTGCTGGGTGTATGGAGATGGTCCAGGGGACTTTTCAACATCTCTCTAAGCTGCCTGGTGTGTACGATGTGCCAATGTTAGAGTAGAAAGTGACCTTCCTCCACAGAAATCCAGCTCGCATAATTTACAAGGAGGGAACTAAGGTGTGGGCTTACATGGAAACTATGAAGATAGGTAATATTTCTCCAGAGCTTCATTTTGCTCCCTCCGGGCCTCCCAACAGCCCCTCTCTTGAGACCATGGGAAGAGCAAGGTATGGATGCCTAAGATTTCCACTGTGGTCCAGCGGGTGGAGGGTGGCATCGTACATAGGGACAGCAACTGACATCTCCACTTGGTGAATGGAGTGGGGAATGTCAGATCCTGACGCATTTGTTACTGTGTGGCCCAAATCCAAGTTACCTACAACTCACGGAAGAAGTATTGGGCTCGCAGAACACCTTGCTCAGAACCTTCACCTTCAATAATTTCACCCCACTCCGCTGCGCCCTCAGGAGGCTCCCTGGCAAGGAGCTGGTAACCCCTGCCCTGCGCAGCCAACAGTAGATGCAGCACTTAGAAACGCTCCCTGAGCAAGCCCGATGACCCGCGTTTGATCACTGAAACCCACTGTGGAAAGACAACCAACTTCTGCAAGCGGTTCTCTCCTCTCCACTCAGGCGCTGTGGGGTGTCTGAAAGCTCACAGACTGAAAAACACGTGGGCCCAGTTTCTTCCTTCCTTACCCCACCCCCATCTGACTGCACCTTCCTTTTGTCTTTATTTTCACGTCCCATTTGT